CATCCAAAAAAGTGCAGAGGGAAAGGTAGGGACTGTGGTAAAATAAAACATGTCTCAATGAGGGAACCACTTCTCATATCCAACCTGGGGACCATTTGGTCAGTTCTTCCATGACAGATATTTAGAAGCAAAATTGGAAATCCAATTTTTCCATGAAATTTGATTTTTGAAATATTAATTCTTCTTTTGATTTTCTTTCATTTTTAATGCTTTATGGATAAAAACAACAAAAAGAAAAGCCCATTCATTTGCTGGCCACCATTTTGCCACCACTAATCATCTGTTCATTTCATTTATTCATTCAACAAACTGTGGAGAGACCAAAGAAAATCTAGAAATGAATCCGTTCCAGAAGGTGAAGAATGAAATTCTCAAAAAAAAAAAAAAAAAAAAAAAGATGAACTAAGCTGAGATGATTAAAATGGAAGGAGAGTGGGTTGTGGGTTGACTGACCAGTAGTCTTCAAATCTATGAAGGAATTTTCAGTGCCGCTGCTGACTAATTGTCCTTCTGTTCTGGAGAGTCATACAAAAAGAAAATGGGTTTATTTTCATGGAGAAGAACTTTGAATAAATACAAGAAATGTTTTCTGAGAGTTATTCCGTTTTAGACTGAGAAAGGAGAAGACTGTTGCCCTTTCATTTGTAGAAGTGTTTTTGAAAGAGGATGGGTTATCAGCGAGGGATTTGTTGATAGGTTTTGGACAGTCTGGGAATGCTCCTTCCATCTGGAATTCTGAGGGTCTGATTCCTTCTGAGGGAATTGATTCCAACTCAATAGCTCCCCTGACTTCCTGCCTTACCTCCTCATTGCAGGGTGCAATTCAAGAGAATAGCTGAGAAGTCTTTAGTGATCTGGGGTCACGATTACCTGATAGCGCCTCTTGGCCCACATGTGCCATAACTGCTCCAGGTAACAGACACATGCTTTGAATACAGGACTGCTTTCCAAGGCAGAGAAAAGACATTTCCTCAGGGGATGTCACGTCTCCCAGCTCGACAGATGCCAACTTGACATGTTCCTCCTCTTTCATTATTCTGAATTTTTCTGCAAAGCCCTCATCCTCCCAGTCCTGTACCGAGCATGAGAATTTGCCTTTTCCAGTTGTCAAAAGATGTCAAGATTTCTCCAGGAGCTCCAGCTCGCACTTCAGTATTTAGCTGGAAAAGGAATTCCAGGGACCCGTGAATGGCAGTTGGTCTCTTTCTTGCTCACTTTGGTTTGGGTATGCTTTAAAAATTTGAAGCTTAATGGGGTTTTGAATGTTCGCTTTCCTTTTGCTGCAGTACTTCAAGTTATTTTAAAATGTATGGAGGGTCGCCTAGTAACGGTGCTGCACTGGCTTTGCAGAGAAGTTTTGCATTGTTTTTCCCTTTCAGAAGGGCAGTCGGTGAGGAAGAGTGGGAGGGTGGGCTCACTGAGAATCAGTGAGAAATGAGTTTTCCCTTTGGGGCTTGAGGTCATGAAGAACTGATGTGGGACACAGAGGGGACATGGGACACAAAGGCAGTGTCTGAGGCAAAGAGGAACACACTCAGAAGCCATCTTCCGTCTACCTGTGCCTCTGGTGAAGAGTTTGAGTGACTTGTATCAAATGGAGTTGAGTTAGGGAAATTCTTTTCTCCTTCACTGTTTTTTTCCTTGTTCTTTTTCTCATTTTAATACCATAGGTCATCTTAGTGTTCTGTGCACCTGAACTCTTCAGGCTCTGAGATGTGGGTTAGTTATCATTGATTTTATAACTAATTTTACTCCTCTTCTTAATTCTGCCTCTTGTAACATGGTGTTGGGTGCAGTTGAGTTGGTTTCTCTTCAGAGCCACCCTTGTGACTGGGGAGAACTGCTCCGTAGGGTCTCCTAAGTAATAATCTGTATGGAAGTAGATCGCCAAGTATTTTCTCCTGTCCACCCACTGGGTGGGTTTGAACTGCTGAGCTCTACAGTAGTGGGTGAGCACTTAACCATTGTGCTATCAGGGCTCCTTTCTTTTAACCTACAGACGAACAATTAACCACTGCTTAGGATGAACGTCTAGTCAATACCACCATCTATTCTCACTGAGTGAGCCCAGGTTTGTAACTAACTTGTCAAAGATTTGAATGTTGAAATTTGCATAATTCTATGGGGATTGTGGGCGTTTTATGAAAGTAAACAGTATTCTGTGCACCTTACACTCAAGGATGGATTGTGTTTCTTTTCCTCCCTCCCTCTCTCCCTCTTTTCCTGCCCTCACTTCCTCCTTTCTTCCTTCCTTCCCCTTTCCCTCTGTCCCTCCCTCACTTGCTTACTTCCTCCTCCCCTTCCTCTGTTCCTTCCTTTCAATTCTCAATACTCGTTGACATTTAAAGAAGAAAACTGAGGGGAAATGTGGTTTAAGTCAATGAAACCATTAGAACTGTGTGACACAGGAAACTTAGACTTTATTCATCATATATATATATATATATA